TCCCTCGCGCCGTCTCTGCCTCTCTCTCTTTCCGTCTTTCTCTTTCTCCTCTGTCTCTCGAATGCGAGGAGGTAACGCGCTGCGACACCGCGTCTGGCTGGCTGCACTCTGGCTGGATTCACTGGCCGTATAGTAGCGGATAGTATCTACTGATAGGCTGACTAGCGGCTGGCTGGATTCACTGGCTGTCGACGACCGTAGTGTCTTCCCTTCCTCACGCGGCTGCTCCTCACCGAGACGCTGTCGCTGTCCCTGTCGCACCCGCGGCGCCGCGCCTCGCTCCGTCCCGCTCGCTCGCACGCACGTACGCGAGGTAGACGAGAGCGAGGAGCGCACAACACTCGCCGTTATATCCCCCGCGATTAAAGCACGGCCGCCCCCGGCCGGCCACCCCTGTGCTGCCGTGCCGCCAGGAGAGACGGAGGAGAAAGAGGGAGAAAGAGAGGGCGAGTGGAACGGAGGAGCGCGTGACGAGCAGGGGTTGCGGCGACGTACGTACGTGTACGTACGTCCGTCCGTTCGTCGACGTGGACGTGGACGTACCTGGCCCCGACGACCGTGCGATTAACCGGCGTGCGTTTAAGATTTCACTGGCGCATACGACGGGGGCCCTCGTCGCGAATTGTAACACTGGCTTCCTCCCAGCGGTTACTGCGGCGACTCCTAGTTTTAGATCGATTCTCCTACGGTACGTACCGCCGCGAGGGGTCGGAAGGGCCGCTCTGCACGTATACCCTCCCCGTGCGTCCCGGTCGCCCGCTTTGCCAACCCCGCCGCCGCCCGAAACCCCTAGGAAACCTCGCCCCGCGAGCGCCACCGACAGCCAGCATCCACGACTATTACGTGGGAAATGTCACCCTCGCACCCATCCGCCGAGGGTGCAGCGGGGATGATCTTGAGAGAAAAGTGTCTCCGAGGGTAAAGTCAATGCAGTTCTGGGAACAACGACGTTATTATAATTCTTTTTCTCGAGATTATTCGAAGAACAAAATTTTTCTTTTGACCGAGGGTTGAAATGAAAGGTATCAGATGGAAAGTAGATATTCCAGTAGATAATTCCATCGTATGGTCAGACAGTCGAGTCTTGCACCAGAATCTGTGAAAATTGATACAATTATTAGAACCAATATATATTATTAAAATTTAAAAAAAATTTTAAATCGTGCTCTTTAAAGAGAATAACGCATAAAATTCTTCTAGCTGTGTGTGTGTATCATAAATAATATGATATATTTTAGCCAAATAGAAAAGTATGGTTGTAAAAAAGGCGTTAGCGTCCCTTCGTTACAATTCACCTGCAATTAAATTATACATACGCACTGTAAAGTGCCTTCCCGACATGTAAGAGTATCAACCACCCCTGTTTGTAACACGTGCATTGCCATAGCGATCGCCGGGCGACGCATAAATAAAAGCGGCTGCACCAATGCAATGTATTGTATGTACGAAAGTTTGTCGACTAGCTTAGCTTGTCAGTTTGCTTCAGCAACGCGCGTTTTTCTCTGTAAATAGATATGTCAAACGTGGAAGGGAAGAATTTCTGTGAGAAAAAACACGATTTCAATCAAAATGTGATCGAGCCGTCTAACTCGTTCGAACAATTGTGCAACATGATAAACCAACTGGAAAAAGATAGCGGTATTGAAATTGTGGAATACAATCGAATGGATTTATTGGCTACTGACGTAAAATACGATGTCAATTTAGAGCCAGCATTGCGCAATTATCCGGAACATGTAAGCAAAATTTTTACTTGTCAAAGTCATTGTTAATTTTTAAAATAAAGATTGATTTATATTTTATATCATTGCATTATATTGCTATCAATAAATGCAATAATTTTATTAATATTTTAAATCAAATATATATGATCAAGCGCAGATTGAACCGGAAAAAGATGTCACCGCGAATAAATGTGATTCAGCTGCAACGACTTACAAAGACATAATGTCTTTTCTAGAAAACTTTGAAAATGGTATTAAAATTTAGTGGATTAAATTTCTCTTTCTCTCTTCCTTTTCAATTGTATTGTTAAATTCGCGTTTTAAAATTCTACTTATCCCGTTTACATTATATAAAATAAATAATTTTTCTACAATGTAGATGTGCCAGCGAATAACGTCATTGCGGAAAGTTCAGCAATTATAATCTCATCGTGTCAAAATCCTAGGTGACGATATTAATAATTAATTGTAAAAATTGAAAGAATCTTGTATATATATAAAAAATATCGTTCCTTCGGCAGAAATGATGTACAAAATAGCCGGATTTTCGACTGCCAGCAGGACGATTTAGAGACCGCGAGATTGCAAATCGAAGAAAAGAACGCGACGATAGAATGTTTGAAAAATCAATTAAAGTCCGAGCGTAAGGCGGCATGTGACAAAATGATGTCGCAAAAACGCTGTAACGCTATCAAAATGAAGGAGCTAGAGAACAAGTATAGAACGATCGTGAAACGTCACCAGAAGTTTATCGAACAGCTGATCGCCGAGAAGACAGATCTCGCGCAGAAATGCGACTCTCTGGCGCGACAGATAAAAGATATAGAACAGAAGATCCAGCGAGATTTGAAAGTAATTAATGAAAGACACGCCGTCGAGCTGCAACGCGCAAAAGAAAATATAGCTGCGTCGGAAAAGATCCGGCGCGAGCGATGGCTGGAGATGAAAACCTCGAAAATTAAGGTTGTCGTTAATTCACATTAATTATTATTAACAAATATAATTCAAAGACTCGTTTTAGCACTTATATAAAATGATGGCATTGAAAATAATAATCTATTCTAGAAGACTGTCTCAGTTTCTTCGTGAAAAAGTATAAGGATATCCAGTAGCTAATATCTTTAAAATTATAAGAATGGCAAAAATGTTATATGATGTAACATAATAATTACATAGCTCCTAATGAATAACGCAGGGATTATTTATATCACAGGAAATGACAGTGAAAGGATTAGAACCAGAGCTGCACAACATGATGGAGCAACATCAACGAGAGATACAGGAATTGAGACGCGCGCATATAAAGGAATTGCAAGACGCGGAATTGCGCGCGATGCGTAGATCGAATCAGCAGTTAGAGCAATTGCGAATCGAATTAACAGATAACCATGAGAAAATGTTGACCAAAGAGAAGGATATATTAACGATAAGGTGGGACATTAATTCGTGAACATATATTGATTCTAATATATATAATTTTAACTAAGTATTATAAATTTTAACTGACAAGTATTATAAATTATAATAAAATTTTGCATTTGATTAGATATAAAGAAAAACTGGAAGAGCAAGAGGCGCATTATCAGGTGCAACAAAAAACATTTGCGGAGCATTTCGAAAGAGAGAAATCTATACTTATTGCAGAGCAAAAGAAACGCGACCAGGAAACAAGCGTGATGATGCAACAAACGCAGTTGCATTTTCAGGTTTGCTTTAGAACAAAATTATTCTTCTACTATTGGTAAGACACAATCTGTATGATAGACTTTCCTCTGCAGAAAGAAGCAGAAAGATTAAAAGAGCAACAAGAAATTGCTAAGAGAAATTTCGAGGAATCCTTGAGAAATGAATGGCTCGCATGGGCAGATGATTATAAAAAACAACAAAGCGCAACTTTTATAAAGGCAGAGACTGCAATTCGTAATGATTGTCAAAAAGAGAGAGACAAGCAGATAGAGATCGCTATAGCTAGATTGGAAAAAGAATCTCGCGAGATGCGGGCTAAGTTGCAGCAAAGTTTCGATAATAAATTGGAGTAAGCTTAACAATATAATTTTTGTGTATGAAAATATAAATAAAATTATAACAATTTTACCGAAATTACTTTTAGACTAATGAAAGAAGATTACGATGCAAAATTGCAATCTGCAATTAATAGCGAAAGCATTCATAAAAATAAATTATTATTATTGGAAGAAAGATTTAAATGTACAGAAACCCAGTTTGAGAAAACAGAAAATAGATTAAAAGAATGCATGTCCAATCTAAATAATATGAATGAGGTAAATTTTATGTAATCACATTTTATAAACATATTGTGATTGTGATCATATAGCTACAATCTTTTTAATCATTTCTGTAATTTAATTTAGATAGTCGTAAAATTGACTACAGAAAAAGATAATGCAAAAGAGATAGCGAGGCAGGAAATTGAGACAGAGAAAAGAGAACTGGAAGACAAGATTGCATCGCTTTATCAAGAAATAATTCAGAATAATGCTAATAGAGATCAATTTATGGCACAATTGCATAGCAGGTTAAAATTTAATATTCAGCAAAATAATAAAAAAATTAAACATGAATCAGTATTTAAAAATAATACATTATAATATATATATATATATATTCGCATTTATTAAAATATTTTTTTATTTCAGGATAAAACTCGTAATCACTCAAAAAGCTTTAACCATAAAAAATCTCAATAAAAAACTCCATGATGCTCATTCAAGATGTGAACACTTGGAAAAATTATTGGATCAACAGAGAAAAGAATATATTTTAAAAACATTGTAAATTTTATTTATATATAAGAGTGTGTGTGTATATATATATATATGCTATTTGTAAAGGATGAATTAATATTTTTACTGCATACACACATACACAACAAAAATAGCTTTGCCATCATTTAGATGCAAATTGTGTGCGTGTTTTCTTCTGAACATGAATTATATGCTATAAAATATAATATTAGATAAATAAGAAAGAGAAACCATTAAAGTAATTGACAATATACATGTAAATATATGTAACCATACAATAAAAAACAGATTTATATTTTATATTATATATAGATCTGTTAAAGAAAAAGTTTAAGTGACATGTATCAAATATCACAACCTCAAGATTATTTTATATAAAATTTTACATATAAAATCTATAATGTTGTAGTTAAAAGTTAAACAGATTTTCATCAATTGCATTTGTGCATATTCTATTTGTCAAATGCGACAGTGATTTAAACATATTATGTGTGCATATACATGTAATATATCAATCATATATAATTTATTAAAATGCAATCTTTTTACAAATCTGACATCATTAATCTCATCGGTAAAGTTTTTATTTGCGCACTGCCAAAAAATGATCATAAAGAAAAAAAGTCACACTTTCTTTACAATTTGCACAACGTCTTCATCACAAAGAATATGATCCTTTCCCACTTTCTGTGGCTGATGTTTCACGGATGAACCCCATACCAATGCACTGCAACATGACGAATTAATTAAAATATCTATAAAAGAATATATAAAACACTTGAAATATGAAAAACTTACTATTTAAATTCTTTCGCGATCGATCTGTGAAGCTTATTACAAAAATCTTCAACGGTTCGTTTTTCGGTGTTTAATACTACGGGTGCATTATAGTCCGGAAGTTGTCCTTTTGGCTTGGTATAACTGTTGTAAAAATTCAAATTAATCATTAAACTCTTTAATAGACACAAATTAAGTTATAAAATAATACTTAAATCACATAAACTTACATCCTAACAAGTTGCAAATAATCCCACATCTTCTCTAGCAGGTCATCAAAGTTCCACTTGTGATGGGCTGAGATCGGTACACAGTGTGGAATTTTATAAATAACATCCAATTCTTCTATACTTATTTGATCTGTCAGAAAATTCCCATTCAAAAATATATATATATATATATATATATATTTTTTTTAATATATAGACGATATAAATCACAATTAGCAAAGTTACCTATTTTATTTAAGAGATAAATGCAAGGAACATAAACACGATTCCCTTCTATAACGTCGATCAGATCGTCAGAGGTAGCGTCGTACCTTAATGTGATATCTGCATTGCTGATTTTATATTCTGACAAAATCATCCTTACTGTGTCATAATCGAGTTCGGTTTGTGGACACTACAAACAAGCACAATAGCATTTTATAGTATTTTTTTTATGCCATATAAATTATATTTATATTAATTGATTATTCTCTTAACAGATTATTTTCTTACCATAGTTTGCAGATTGATACCACCCTTATCCTTCTTCTTGAAAGTTATGTTTGGTGGTTGTTTATTCAATCGCAGGCCGAAACCTTCCAATTCATGCTCAATTAACCTTTTGTGCCCAAGCGGTTTGAGCACATCCAAAACAATGAAGATTAAGCTGCACGTTCGTGCTACAGCAATAACTTGTCGTCCACGTCCCTTACCATCCTTTGCACCTTCTATAATACCTGGAAGATCTAACAGCTGCAAGATGCATTCTGTTACAATCTTAACTTGATTTTATTTCTGTATACAAATGACAAATTTCAATTCTAACCCCAATTAACCCCAAAAATATTTATAAACCATTGTACAGAACATAAAACCAAATATTTCTTAATAATAATTAAGACTATATTTTGGATTACCTGTATCTTTGCTCCTTTGTATTTTATGCAACCAGGAACAGTCGTGAGTGTTGTAAACTCATACTCAGCTACCTCAGAATACACGCCAGCAAGCGTACTCAACAGCGTGGATTTTCCAACAGATGGAAAGCCTACAAAAATTTAATTCATATATAAAATCATGTACAAGATGAAACGTAAAATACTGTCATATATAATCTATGAATGTTTGTCATATCCTCCAAAATGTAATTATGGAGTATGAATAGAAAGACACTCAGACTGACATAACATTATAATGCAGCTGTTATACGGATCATAAAATAACAACAAAAATACGAGAAACTCACCGACAAAGCCGATACGAGCATCACCGGTCTTGGCAACCTCGAAACCCTGCTCGCCACCCCCGCCGCCACCCTTGGGAGTAATTAACTCGCGCCTGAGCTTGGCTAGCTTCGCTTTCAGCAGACCCAAGTGCCCAGAAGTCGCCTTGTTCTTCTGGGTACGGGCCATCTGAGAGAGAAAATCACCGTGAATGATAACATCGTAGATTGCAACGAGATTCGTTGCGATTTGCAGAATAATGGGTTACCTCAGCCTCGATGGAGGCGATTTTTTCCAAAATCGTGCTCATCCTTGAACCTGAAAAAAACTGTGGAAAATAGCTTCAAGTTCAAAAACAAATCGTTCAGCTGAGAGAATCTGTCACATTATTAAAATTACAGAAACGTCGAAATAATAAAGTGACCGGGCACATTACACGTGCACACATGCATATGTTAATTCGTGGTTAATTCCGCCAACACTGGCCATCACAACCATAGATCATGTGCAATATCTCTAGATGAGAAACTGAGAAGGTAAAATTGGAAACTTTCTAGGAAAAAAATACTAGACATTTGATATTATGGCCGGTATTCATAGTCCGTTCTTATATTCAAGATCGTCTTAAGTACGATCTTAAGATACTATGCGGCCATTTCATTGGTTGAATGGGATCTTAAGACGACCCAAGACCACACTTAAGACGATCTTGGATATAAGAACGGACTATGAATACCGGCCTATGGGTGCTTTCCAGCAAGAAAGCACATAAACACAATGTCATATGATTGGCTGTCAAATAGAAAAATTTTCGAGACTTTAAAAATTCCCTATTTGACAGCCAATTGTGTGACATTTGTATCTCTCTGTGTCTCCTTGTTAAAAAGCACCCAATATTACGTAATTGGCAAAATTTTTTTATTTGACTTATCGCTATCCGTAGTATATACTATATACTAGAATGACAAAACATCACACGCAGCTAATAAAATAATAAATCCATAATATTTCTCCGCAATTTTGATCCACAATTATAGATCTAGCATGGACATACATCAACCGGCCGTTTTATCGTGGCATCAAAAAATAAATCTGGCCATGTAGTTTCGGCGACTCTAAAATAGATCCAGTTGACGTTACTGTATTAACTAGAAAAAGCGTTTTATGAAAAACGGCGGCGTGACCCCTCTCAAGCTTCTCCCTGATGTAACATTGTTTAAAATTAGTATCATTACAAAATTTTAAGGTTTTTCGAACAAACTTAAATAAAACCGCATAAAGAATATATGCTTAGAAAAATTTATTTATTAAATATCTGATTTTTATTGATTTTATACAAATATATCTGAATAGACGTCAATAAGCGTTTATAGAATCGTTTGGATAAGCCTTTATGATTTCTCTCATAAATTCCACTCGTGTAAAACGAGCCTAAACGCAAAGTCTAATCGGTCTCGACGCCAGCGCGCCACGTGACCGCGCACCAAGTCGATCGTCAACGCCAACCCTTTCGCGTACCCGATGTAATTCAGTGGATTCAGTGTGGTATGAGGTGTATGAACGATAAGTGTGAGGATCGCGATCGTGGTGAACTTTTCATTGTACGACTCCCTCGGTCACGAGTCTAAATAGAGTGTGTAAAAAGAGAAAAAGAGAGAGAGAGAGGATGGCGTCGAGACGGCTGTAAGAGCCGTCTATTGTGGGACAATTGAGGAAAACGAAACGAAAAAAACCGAGTAAGAATGCGCGTTGTAATGTCAATCTCTCCGATGCTAGTCGCGTGCTTTTGGTGAGCGCGACATTCGGTTAGTATCATTTCGCGCGATGCAATCCATTTATTGGACTGGACGGCTGCTGTCGCGCGCGCTCTGGAACGGCATCGCGAGCTGTAGCACCTCGTGCGGCACCGAGCAGCAACCGAACGCGGTTGTCGCGAGCAGCAGCAGGCGCCGCGAGGCCTCGCTCATCTCCGCCGTGTGCGGTTTCCCGAAGGAGCTTGCCCGGAGCCGAATACGCAAGGGCCAATTCGGCGACGACGCCTGGTTCACCGCCAAGTTCAGGACGGCCGAAGTCATAGGTGAGGCGGAGAGGCGCGACGTTCTGCGATTATATCCTTTCTGACTCATAGTAAAAGTTTGTTCTTTCCTTCCTTAGACTTTCACTATACTTTCCCTTGACGTTTGTCCCTTTTCTCTCTTTCTTCCTTCGAATCCAGTGTATCTCTTCCAAATACAAAAAATGTCAAATAGCATTGCTGAGAGGATCTTATAAATCTATTCCCTTTGGCTAGTTTGTGTATTTTTGTATAAATGTTTCCTTTTTCTTTCTATCTTTCTCCAAATCCTGATTATATCGCTTTACTTTGATTATAGAAAATTAAAAGTTAAATGCATCTGAAAAGAACAGACTTATACTTTAGTTTTGAAATAACAAGAAATGTGTCATTATTGGAGACGATGTGGAATTTTTAAATTGCTAAATTTTTCACAGCCTATCTAAATTTTAAATATATTTTCACACCAGAAAAGTCAAACAGATCTGTTTCTTTCAACTGCATTCGCTACATTTGAAAAAAATGAAATAAGCATATATTCAGCCTTTAGAAAAAGGGAAAGGAGAGACAATTTTAAAGAAAGAGAAAAAAATGCAAGAAAGTACAAAGAATGCAGTTGAAAAGAGTAAAATTCAAAATTCAATATAAAATATATATTTTGGAATATATTTTTTAGAATAAACTTTGAATTATTCTAAAATCATATGCTCTTCTTTTTCATATAATTATTTATATACATGGCTATATTCTCTCTTCTCTTTATAATTATATTTTATTATGTAAGAATATAAAGTTAACTAGCATTATTGAGATAATATTACATAAAGTGCTATTACATACATTTAGTTCTAATTATTTTAAATTATAATTTTCCAGGTGTTGCTGATGGTGTTGGGGGATGGCGACATTATGGAATTGATCCAGGAGAATTTTCTAATTTTCTGATGAGGACTTGTGAGAGGCTAGTCTCTATGGGTAGATTCAGACCTACAGAACCAGCTGGCTTATTAGCTCGTAGTTATTATGAATTATTAGAAAATAAACAACCAATACTAGGTAAGCAGAAAAATAAAAAAAAAATGTCAAAATTGATTCACAATATATAACTGAAAATATTGCTCCGAGATTGATTTCTGATTGTTAATATCTTTTTTAGGTAGCAGCACGGCATGTGTAATAGTTCTTAATAAAGAGACAAGCAGCATTTATGCAGCTAATATAGGAGATAGCGGCTTTGTAGTCGTGCGAAGGGGAGAAGTGGTGCATCGCTCCTCGGAGCAACAACATTATTTCAACACTCCCTTCCAATTGTCGCTTCCTCCTCCAGGACACTCTGATATGGTACTTCGCGATAGGTACATCTCATTTTTTATATATTATATTTTAACTACATATTTAATTGCATGTAATAATATTTACATTATGTGATACCATGATTACCATAGAGAAAATAATTATGAATAATAATCTTCCCTTTTCTTCTTTTTTTAGTCCAGAATCTGCTGACACTTCGAGTTTCGGCGTCGAGGATGGCGATGTAATCCTTTTGGCAACCGACGGGGTATTCGACAATGTGCCTGACCAGTTGCTAGTCACCGAGATGCAGAAAATCGAGGGCGAGAGGGACCCGACAAAGATCCAGTGTGTCGCTAACACGATAGCGTGGATGGCGCGTCGTTTGGCCTTTGATGACGCCTTCATGTCTCCGTTTGCTCAAAGTGCCCGAGAGAATGGAATTGATGCAATAGGTATGTAAAGAGAAAACTATATTATATATTTCATTTATATCCTGTTTCAAGCAGCTTCGCATTAGTATGAACAGAGAAATTACTTTATAAAAACAGCCTGGGAAGCTACAAGCTAAATTTTTAATATGCAACAATTTTTTTTTTTTTTATAATTAAATCTTAATTGCATAATTTTTTTTATTTTATTGTGATTACTATTTTTATATTAGAACTTAATCCGCTAATAAATTAATAAATTAATAGATGCTAAGTTTAAATTAAGAATGCTTGATGAGAAAAAGAGCGTGCAAAAATAGATATCAAAATTTTTAGGTGGTAAACCAGACGACATCACGGTGCTTTTAGCAACGGTGGCGATATGATAAAACAATAAGCGACAAGTGTACAATAGAGCCCCGATAATCATTGTATTATAGTTCATGTCATTGCGTATATGTATTTAGTTATACATCATATTAATCCTATATATATACATATATATATATACATATATATATATGTATGTGTATGTATGTATGTATATATAATTTTAATCATTTATTATTTAAATCGAAATAAATGGTTTTATAAAATCATTTCTTATTCTCTATTCATTATTATTCATTTCTTTACAGCTCTTTGATAATTATTAACGTACTCTTTGGCGATTGTGGATGCATTTGTCGATTCACTCTTTCAGCATTTTTATATACCATTTATCCCATATTAATTTACAGTAATTTTGTCGCTTTCTTTGATTGTAAGCCTTGGCTTAAAAAAATGCTTAAGAATCAGACGAATCAAAATTGAATTAACATTTTGTGAATTTTGTATATTTAATAAGATACTGAAAGAGTTAATACAAATGCATCCTAACAAGAAATTATTAAAGATGTAATTATCATTAATTACATCGATTGTCGGAATGACAATATGTTAATGTCTAATAAGAGGCCAGGAATCCCAGGATTAACAATTCAAAAAACCAAAACCATAACATCCATATCAAAATTAGAGAGAAATATAAGATATATATTAAATATTTATCTAGTTAAAAATTTAATATAAAGATATGAAAATCCATAAAGTTAAGAATCAAAGGAATAAATCATGCAAATGATAAGCATCCTAGGACCCTGAAAGCCAAAAATATAAGAAAAGAGAAATATAGGCAAATCTAAAAGAAATTCGAATTTCATAATGATTTAAATCTAGAATTCTCGAAGAAGAATAAAATATTCAAAGAATCTTAGAATTCGCGATTAGAACGGTCACAATCGGGAGTTTGAATTCCCTTTTTTTTTCTAAACCAATATACTGCAGAATAAATTCACATTAATATTTAGAGGCAATCTGCATTAAAAATTCATGTTTGTTTAGCTTAGAATACCATTGCGCATAACATTTACAAGGATCACAGAAAAAGTTATATCAAAGTTAGTTATTAATTATACATGGCAAAGTAATGTCTACTTTCCAACTAAAAAAAAAATTATCTTACAAAGTTGTATTAGAATTGAAGAATGCACCCTTTTAAAGATTCAAGATGGTTATCTCTTTTACAGTTATATTTTTCTTTTTCTTTCATTAAAGAATTTTTAAGAGAAGAATGATATGTAAAATTTGTTATAACATTTATTAACATTAAACAATAAATTGATCATAACAAAAAAAAAAGAAAAAAAACATTACTTTTCCATTATTCCCACAATGCAAAGAAGAAGCGACAATTATTAATTATAATCAATGCAAGTCTCCATTATATTCACATAGTACATAATATACATATATGAACAAAATGTGGGAAGGTGTGTATATATTATATTATTTCTTTAGTTTATATTTAACGATTTGTACTTTGTAGATGTTGCCTAGATTACACTTCACTATATTAATAAATATAAATAAATGCTTTAATACACTTTAAAATAGTCTCCCTTGCACAATGGCATTTTCTCTCTTTCTCTCTCTCTTCCATTGATACTTGCAAGAACTATGAGCACGATGAATGTATCACAAAATTACCACCGATCGCACATATCGCTCTTACAAAAATGACGCTCTCGATATAGTAAAGCTAATTAATTCGCGAGTGTGAAAAATTACGACTTCCATGCACAAAACCGGAAGTATATATTCGCGATAGATAGACTTAACCCTCGGAATGCCAATTCAATTGCACTTGCGTGCATGTGAAAGACTACTTCTATTGAATTGCAGAATTCAGATATAAATCTGCGAAAATTTTACTACTCATTATCATTAATATGTTAGAATGTAATGTTACCATACACGACATTAGAATCATATATAAACAGTCTGTACACATCGTATATATCTACATAATAACAATTAAAATTACTATTTTTACAATTGGATTCATAGATTTCAAATTAATTACAGAATAATCTTCTCAGATAAAACAAAATATGTAATTCTGCTTGTATTCTTTAAATAAATCAATTTAATCCATTATATTTTTTGCAATAATGCTAGAAGCGCAACGTTTGGCTTCCAAAGAGTTAATATCGATATAAACTGGATTTTGTGTGCAAAAACGAATAATGAAGAACATATATGTGAATGTGCATGTACAGAATTTAAAGGAAATAATAATAGCTCACTGATTATAAACGTTTTACGTACATATCTCCAGCTCTCATCTATATATAGGATATATAAGAATTTGTATGCTTTTTCTTGTTCACAAATTCCTTGAAAAGTTTGGAGTCAACTTTCCCTCGACGATTAATTTGATTACAGAAAGATTATCAACTTTTATTGGACAATTCCTCAATTGAAGAAAACAGCTGGGATCTTTCTAATATATATATATCTTGTATATTATCCTTTACATTTCTTTTATAAACATCTTGCATATTATCCTTGTCATTTCATTATACGTCTTTGCATACACAAATCCAAACATCAAGTTATTAATAACTCTAAAGATGAAGGAACAACGATGGGGACGCACGCTTCTGCAATGTTCTCGGGTAATTTGATATAAGAAACAGCATTAGGAAGAAAATTATTGAATGTTTTGATCACTGCACATTGGCTTCCTGTCCCCAATTGAAGCCACCTGGTCTGTCTTCCGGCGGCGGCATGTAATCCGGATCTTCAGGATGTGCGTCAAACAAAGTCTTACTATGGAGGAGGAAAAAAAAGATTATATATATGATCTCACATTTGTTATCTAGTGTTAGTCAATTCTACATCTTTTTTCAATAAGAAAAATTTGCCGATTGATAATTTTATTAATTAATTTTGCAAAGAGAGGAAGAATTGTAATTTATTTAATGTTAAGAATTTTTATTTTAATTCTAACCTTAATTTTGCATAATTGTAAATTGTAGCACTTACAGTATTTGTGGAGTTTTTAAAATCCGAAAACCGCCTCTTAACCGCGGAAATACATCCTCTGCGAAATAATAAGTATGCCCTACCGCCATTCCAACAAGATCGACCCATATTGTATTACCAAGCAACACAGAGAACCCCAGCAGTACCCATGGTAAATATGGAGCCTGTAAAATATGAAAAAATATCAGTAGCAGTAATATTAGTAATCATTACAGACAAATCAGTTATCTAATACAATAAAATAATAATGTATAATAGCTAGTTGTATTTAATATAAATCACAATAATCATAAAAGGATAAATGATGATAAGATACGAAGATAAAATCTAAGTCAACATTTAAAAGAAAGTAGAACCTACTTGAAAATTTAAAAGTCCAAAGAAGTTCATCCTGACAAAAGGATTTCGTCGCGACCATACATACACTAACATTATCGTGAATGCATGTCCTAGGAACAGCAGATTGACGAAGAATGCAAAAGTCTGCAGATAGTTAAGGAATAATAATAATAAAGGATAGAAAAATTTTTAACAATACAATCTTAATATCTGAGTAACAATATTACTAATTATAATAAGCGATATATTTTCCCAAGGATACGATCATGCATATTCCGCCAAAAATGAACATCATTACAAAATCAGCTGTTCTCCTGCGAAACGATCCTTCTTCCAACATACGGCAATATCGATATGTGAATATCATATTGAACAGTAGGTTGAACCCAATATTCCCAAAAAACAAGAATGTTGTTATTAACCGCCATATCTGCAATAATTCAAAGTGATGTTTCTTAAAGAATGAGTATTGGTCATTAATATAATTCTAAACTATCAATAATTGTTAAAATAATTAAATGCTACATATAAGCTGTTGCAATATATAATACAACAAAATATAGAGAAAAGTATAAATCTATATATACAAGTTTTTCCTTAGCAGTATGACTTTTGGACTATGTTATATAATGAAGTCAAGTATTTTGCATTGCTATTTGCATATCTGTATTTTCATACCTGGTACTGTTCCACAATGAGAATTGGATTGAAATATAATTGAAATGGAGACACCAAGTCCAATTGCTGAAATATTTAGAATAATTAAGTTCAAATATATTTCATTCACATACAAATATATTTCAATGCATTATATTGTTAATTAATTAAGTTTATTATTCATTTAACTAAAGTTATTTATAAATATTATAGAAATCGTATTTTATTTTTATAAAGTATTTATTTTTATAGAGTTTCCATTAATTATTATCTTTTTTGTATAATTATTGAATATAAAAACAGCAAACGGATTACGCTGATATAAATTAAGTTATTAAACATATAAGATTTAATGATCTCATAAAAAGATATCAGAGATTTATAAATCTTACAAATATAGATCTAAAACTGCGAGAAATTAAAGGTCTGAAAAAAATAAGGGCCAAGAAGTATCTCAAGAATTTAGGAATCTAAAAATCAAGGGACTCCGGATTGAAAATACGTACAAGAGGACAAGTTCTATATGTCTAAAAAATCGTGATGACAAGGAAAGATACGTGGAACTTCATACACGATTAAAAAGGGAGACAGAGGAGAGGAAAAAAAAAAACAAGATAAATACCACGGCAAGAGTCGTGATGACACAAGCTGTGGTGTAAGCCCGCGTCACCACGGGCATCTGCATGTACTCGTGCCATAATGCTTCGTAGGCCATTGGCATTGATTATCGGCGATCTTACGACCGTATTCCTTCCTTGATACCTCGCAGCTGCACTCTCGCCGCTTCTTATCCTTTTCCCGCTTCACCATCGCATGTTGCACCAGCGCGGCAATGTTATCTGCACATCGTATTAATTTGTTGTCCGCACGATTTTTGTACACGTAACACGTGAAATTGTCACCGATTTGCCCAATCTTGGTCACGTTGTGGCCAATTGCCGAGGAGGAACTTTTTCTCTCGCAGATTGCCGGTCTGCTCATCGATCATCTGTTCGCGTAGCAGCGAACTTCATCCATCACCTCGGATTGTTTACGATCAGACGCTGATTAAACGCTGAAAATCAAATCGCAAAGTTGATTTTTTGCGCGATCATTCAACGAGGATATTCGCAAATATAAAGTCAGTTAATATTGCTGTGATTAATTGTTAAGTATTTAAATAATTAAGAATGGTTCTCACGAAGGAATATCGCATTTGTATGCCGCTCACCACGGAAGAGGTAGTCTTTTCATACATTATTTAGTTATCTAATAATGTATCCAGATAATAAGATTATTTATTTATCTGAAAATTATTATTATATTTATGCACTTATCTATTAATTCTTTTTTTGCAAGACAATCTTTTTAAAAATTTCTGTTTGTGCTAATCAATTTATTTTATTTTAGTATCGCATTGGTCAGTTATATATGATCGCCAGACATAGCCATGAACAATCTGATAACGATGAGGGAGTAGAAGTGGTAGAAAATACCACCTGTGAAGATCCTGTTCACGGAAAGGGTCAATATACTGAAAAAAGGATCCATCTCTCAAGGTAAACTTTTTTTTATAATATATTGTGAAATACATATATATAGACAGCTTAAAGATTGTAGTGGCTTTTCATCTTTCTTAAGACACTTACTCAATAATATGCTTTTTTTTTTCTTGTAGTAAACTCCCTTACTGGATACAGTCCATCTTACCTCGTATATTTTATGTGACGGAGAAAGCATGGAATTATTATCCTTTCACTATTACAGGTATGCTATTTTATTTATATAGCACACTGTATTATTGATTTTTTTATCAAGTTTTATAGTAGATGCTTTTCCTAATAAATATCATTAATTTTATATACAAAATATATACTTTATCTAAAGATATCGATGAAAAGATATTTAAAGATATTTAAAAATATTGATGAAAATAATGATATTCAAATTTTATAATTTTTTCAATAAAAAGAAATTGAGCTGTATTAATATTGTTCTTTTTCTTGCATATTTGTTCTTGATGACTGCAGAATACACTGTGAGTAATATTCAGTATAAGAATTGTCACAAAATTTCCTAAATTTTATTTTTAAATTTTTCTTTTCCAGTGTTCCTTTTTACCAAAGTTTCACATAGCGATAAACACTCGATATGAAGACAACAATGGTTCCACAGAGAATGTAAGTAACATTGCATCTCTCTCATATTACATCTTTTGTTGTGATGTACTAATTAATATTGTAATTAATATAATGTTATTAGTAATAATAATAATTCTATTACTGTTACTAAATTTGTAGTGCTTAGGATTGTCGCCCATTGAATTAATTCATCGGGAGGTTGATTTTGTGGACATTGCATACGACGAGATCTCTGCAAAACATTACAAAGAAGAAGAAGTAAGCTTACACAATATGAAATCACTCAATTTAATTTTTAACACTTTATTCTAAATGAGATACTTATTTTAACTTGTAACAGGATCCAAAGTTTTACCAATCAAAACGAACAGGACGTGGTCCTCTGGTTGAAGGTTGGAGAGATACGACACAACCTATAATGTGTTCGTACAAATTAGTTCACGCATCGTTCGAGGTCTGGGGCATGCAGACGCGAGTAGAGGATTTCATACATAGAGTAAGCTTATCTAGTTAGTTGTTTGCTTGCCTTACATTTTAGTGGTGTTATTTTTATATAAAAGCGTCGAATCTGAATAGGGTCGTGATTGTCTAAAAGATATTAAATGATATATATTAATGTTTGGCTCAATTTGCATACAGAATGCTACAATATTTAAAAAAGTATGATATTCACTATTATACATTGATTTTCCACAATTTTAGTGTATAAGGGACATCTTGCTGCTGGGCCACAGACAAGCCTTTGCCTGGATCGATGAATGGTATGACATGAACTTGGAGGACGTGCGGCAGTATGAGCAGAAGATGCAGACCGAAACGAACGAGAAGGTCAGATTGAGGAATCAGCTCAACGAGAGGCAGCCCGACACACCAACTTCACCCTCTTCACCCGCGCCAACCACGCCGACGGCAAAATCGCCCACGCAATCGAATCGATCGTGGTTTTCTTGGTCGTAGCCACAAGATTAGCGTGACAAGTTGATCTCGGATGCTGCAGCAGCTCTTCGTCGATTTGGTTAACATTCAAGTGATATTCTCTTTTTCCCACGTCCATGTATATACCGACTGCTCCGGAGAAATCGATGTAAATCGGTAACGACATATTCTTTCAATGAATTCTATATTGACAACTTAATCAACAGTTCAATTGTTCGAAACATGAAGCATTTTTCTTAAGATACATATATATATATATTTTAATTTATCATACTAATTTGCAGTTTCTCCACAAGTAGAATGTATTTTTTTTATAAAAGAAAAGGAGAAATTGCCATTAGAAGATAATTATTAATAATGATTTTAGTTTCAAATAAGAGGAGAAGTCAATAAAAATGTATTAAAGGAATATGTTTCTATAACTGATTACAGCATTTCTTGGGACATTCCATATACATATGCATAATTCTATGTACGTAGGCTTGTCGTAAAATAATTTTCATTTCCGTTTCGATGTACCATGTACGATGAATGCACTTCGAAATGTTGCACACTAATTAGAGATTTCACGATTTAAGTTAGGAATGCCTATAAAGGAGCTGGTCTGAACCATTCCGAAAATGGCGTAAAGTCAAATTTTGAAATACTTGTCTTTTGGATAATTATAGTTTAGATTTTGAGGTTTCACATATTTAGAGAGGTTTGCCACAAATCTTATACATGTAATTACTTTTGTATCACTTGCGTTTCGCTTGTGAATTAGCAAAAAATTAATTTTATCGTGCGAAGTTATATTTTGTAGTTGTATTCTGTAAGTTATATAGCGTAATTAATTAAGTATACCAAATTTTTATTTGCAGTTTGATGTATAGAGGCACTTAAAAATATATGTGTTCGCAAATAATTTATATTCGTTGAAATGTGAACATATCTCCACTATTACAGATATAGTTACATTTGCGTTAATTTTAGATCAATAACTATTTTTATTTTTCATTAGCCAGCACATAATATTCATCAACAAACGTAATATTTTAATTGAAATACAATTGAGTCACTCAGTAATTAACATAAACAAAATTGCAACAATATAGACACAATGATTTACCACCAGAAATAATTTGCATATTTACTCCATTATCATCTAATTAGGATTAACAATTATCGAGTGTAACCTACTGACGACCGGATGTTGTAACGGTGTAATGAGAACACGTGCCATCTCGCCAACATGACCTGTCAGCAAAATTTTACATTGAATCAACAATCACTACTAAACCGTTAATATCTTATCAAAATTCCGCTACCAAGTTAATAAGAAATAGATTAAAATAATTAAATCTTCTACAATCTTTTCATATCAATAAAATTAAAATATAAAAATTACTGTTTTACAAAAAATTCTTTAAAAAAAAAAATATCTTACAAGCATTACAATGATCCGTCAATCGAACGAGAGGATACAACAAGGAAAGTTCTTGCAATCTCGGCAATTCCTCAGATTCTTCTAGCGAAGTCGAAGCTATCTAAAAATACATAATAAATAACATTGGAAGTGTTCTTTTTCTCTTTAGTTCATGAAAAATTATTTTAAAACTAAGACAACCACGTAGTGCGATTCGTAGCGAATAACGTCTGTTTGATATTGGGCAAATAAATTATATTATCACCGATAGGTTAAAAAACACTGGCAAAAGGGTGATGGGCAAGGGAGATCCGCGCAGTTCAGAACACTCAGACGGAGGTCCTGATAAAGTCAAGTGTCTCAAAAGATCTAAGACGTTAATCAGAAGCTCGCCATGACGACCACCGACATCCTGTCTAATAAGTCCTAAAGCATCCTGCGCGATAACTTGTGCTTCCACACCTGGATTGTCAGCTGATCAATCATAAAATATTAATTTAAAGCTTACTTATGTATCACATTCGAAGAATATAGAAATACATAAGAACACAGAATATATATACCAAAAAAGTTATCGAAATATTTAATATTAAAAATTAAAAAGTTGATAAGAATCTATCGAAAATTTAGATGGAGAAAAGAATTAGCTGCAAATTCTTGTTTCTGACGTTAAAATTTTGGTCTTGATGTCTCAAGTTTAACATCGTGATATCGCAATTCACCAGAAGTGGAATTTCGCTGACGATGAATTCATAAATGTTTGTCGAAGAGCATTGCGTTTTCGCGTTGCGAATTTCAATGACAAATAAGACAATTATAAGAAATATATTTTCACCGTTACTCTCTTATATAATTTAAATGCATTCTTAACTTTTATTTTTTATTCGTCATTATTTACTTACCGAGGATCAATTCTTGCACATGCTGCGGCATAATCGGCTTTTTTAAATGACTGAGAAAAATCTGTAAAGCCGCCGCGCATTCCAGAGCTGCATTGTTTGAATCTTCGAAGTGTGGCTTATGACCTTTCTTTAGAGAATTAAGGATATGTTGTCGAAACTCACGACGTCCTGCCCGACGAAATAGTCCTTCCACTCTAGCATCTTTAATCAAGAATTAAAAAAAATTTTGGGTTATATATGTATAATAAATATTTTGCATAACGCATAAAATAAACGCTTACGTTCTTTCAAAAAATGTATAAGTTCTTTTACTGCATCCAAAGACTTTTGCGATATTATGTCGTCACCTGCATCCTGTCTGAAAATCAAAAGAATACGGAATACGGAAGTGGATAATGAGAGACAGTAAACAAATAAGCGATTCTTTTTAAAGTTAACGGATGTATATAAAAAGTGGGTAAATGATTTGATGCAATGTAAAAAACATTTTTATTCTTAGCCCCATGTGCCCTTGCTGCATCCTTCATATACAAGTTTATAAAGAGCTGTAATAATTCCTTTGCTCGAATCTTTTAAATATGTCGAGACGAATTTTTCATCGTTATTTCTTATTTTATTTATAAATTTTTAACCGGTTTTTAACTGCTCTTCTCCAGTAGAAATTTCTTACATTGGCATAATTTGTCGCGGAATTTAGCATAGTTTCACTATGAATGCCACGTTGCTCATTCCGACGGAGTTGTGCAGCGGCTTCCGTAATTAATTCGCTGAACCTAGCTGCTACTTCTTTCCATCTTATCAAATCATTAGGCTGTAAAATAAAAATTAGAATAAAATAATCCAAAAGAAAAAGTTTTAAGAATGTGTTCTGCGAAGTTGTATTTAAACACATAATCTTTATCAAATAAAATAAAAGAAGAGCATATTAATATATAATTAAAAATTAATATTTAAAATAATAAACGAAGAATTCCTAGAAGTGCGTCCTGTCCCTCGTGCAGTCTGGATTGTCCAGAAGCCTTGACTGTTCAACTACCACGGTAAGGATAATTTAAATGTAAGAATTATATATAGGCATCTTTTTAAAAAAATTCAGGGCTTAAATTTTCAATGTGTGTTAGAATCCCAAATTTTAAATATATCAGATTCGAAAGATTTACAAAAAGTACAGAAACTTTAAATTCTGACATTTAATACCAGAATCTAAAAGATCAAAAGCCAAAATTTTATAAAATTTTGAAAGCCTATTTTCTGAATTTAAAGAGGATTTAAAAATTTGTGAAAATGTTCCAGGAATTTAGATGAAGATTCAAATCTGCAGCCAAGAGTCCTACGAGATTTTCCCGTTAATTCGCTCCGAAATTCTCTTCACTCCAATTTGATACGAGAAGGAATTTCCCAGGACACAACATACGATAATAATATTCTACCGAGTCAAAATTCAGCGTTCCTCAGAAACTACAAGAGCTTCTCTCCACAAGAACCAGCGAGCAGAAATTTATTCTTCAAAAATGTTCTTAATAGGTTTCCGAAATTTTTAGACAGGCGAGAAATATTTTCTCAGGATAAATCTGCGAGTAGATATCCTCTTGCTCGCGTTCTTCCATCGAAGCCAATTTTCAGATCGGAAAATGTCTTCAGGAATCCTCGTAATAAATATTTCAGCTCTTCGTTAGATAGAAACTTCGAGAATAATATAAAAGACAAAAAGGATCCTACAAATAAAATGCTCGTCGTTTATCGTGCCGATAAAGACACAGAGCCTTTGAATTCAAGAGACGCTTCTTTTTCAAACATCTTGCCACAAAGATTCAGCCCGAAGATCGAAAACCCTTTCCGATTCCGCCGGGATCCGGTTCCTCACATCTTCGATGAAAAAAGAAATACAATCGAAAAATCTCCGCGCGCAACTCCTGTTAATCAGCAATACAGCCTAACGTATCCCCGAAAAGGATATAATTCCATCCTGCCAGAAATTAAACGTGATCCTTACGTTCATCCTCTTGAAAATATAAATATTTGGAAGCCGACAAAAAATGATGAGTTGTTCGATAATTGGGACAACATAAAAGATTCATCACAATCTTTAAATGTGGAACAGTTAAAGCAAGCTGAAAATAATTTCTTAGAAATGTATCCTGTGAAAGGACAAGAAATTATCACCGAGGATAATAATAAGCAAATCAATAAATCTTATGTATTCCCCCAAAATTTAGATAATTTAGAATTTAGGGAACAGATGGATGATGGAAAAAACTTCGATGATTGGGATTACGCCGCATACAAAAATTCGCAAGAATCCGCAAAAATTAATCAATTGCAGGAAGTTGGAAAGAATTGGCTGCAAGTGTTTCCCGCGATGGAAAGAAACATCAAATACTTTGAAAATGAGAAAGGCAAGGATAAGAAATTCGCGGAGCAGGAAAATATGAATCAGGAATATTTTGAAGATGACATTGCACAGGATGCTATCAAGACTAAACAAAGTAGATATAATCCTTACGCTTTTCCCCAGAATATGAATAATTGGAAGACAATACAGGATAAAGAACTTTTCGATAACTTGGATTTTACGCACAAAGATTCACAAGAGACGGATCAATTGGAGATGTATTCTGAAGAGAATAATGATAAGTTCTTTCAGAATTTGGAAAACGAAGATATAATCCTTGAAAGTAAAACACAAGCTAATGATGATCGAATTAATCGTGCACCCATGATTAATGCCTATAATGCTTACATTCTTCCTCGACACTTAAATATTTTAAATGATGCAAAGTATCCTGTCGATTCCTCGGAGATACAAAAAATACCAGAAGCTAAAAATAATATATTACATGCGAATCCTATGGAAGAAAGAGATGAAAAGTTCTTTGTGGACGATGATATTATTCAAAATGACACGGCTATGCAAGATTTGATTCTATCTGAGGATATTTTTGATATGGATGAATATAGCAGCCATGTTGTAGACAAAAAGAATATAAGAGATAACACTCAGGTTTTGACGAGAATTGATCCTGATCTGTTGGATGATATTGAAGATCTCCCACTAGAACCAACTGAATCGACATCAATGGAATCCCTTGCAGAACTTTCCACACCCAAATAATAATAATAGAAAGTTGTTAGCATTATACATGATATGTTACATTTAACGAGTCATCTTTTATCTGAAGTCTTTTTTTAGAGTCAATTTTTTCTTAATAAAAAAGCATCTCTCTCTCTCAAGAGATCAATAATTTTAAAAAGAGAGTTACAAATAATTTAAAATAACTACTTCAAAAGTGTATAAAGATTAATAAAATTTTATAATAGTATCATAAAATAAAATTTTATTCTTTTTCTTTAGTTTAAGAAAAATTGTTTAATTTAAGGCACACAAAATGGAGATTTGTTTTTTTATGAATATACAAATATATTTTAATATTAGTAATAATATAATTAAGGTGTAATTAGTTTTATATATACATATATACAATATATGTTTGATAATGTGATAAATAATACATTATAGAAATTGTTACTAATTGAGTTAACCGAGGATTTGTTGTGTATGTTCCGTTTGAAAAAGAATTTTACATATGTATATTTTCTGTAATGGAATGGATTGCTTCCAACTTCTCATTATCGCTTAAAAATAAATAAAAAAACCAAAGAGCAGTATTTGTACGGTCTTATTTTGTGTCTTATTATACACTATTTTATCTCGTAAATTATTATCATTTCAAATACAAGTTGTAAAAAATATATGTGTATGTAAACATTAATATACATAAATATAAAAATTAATATTAAAAATAATTGCAATAATTAAATGATTTCTTTTTCTCTCTCTCAGGGAATTATTTTAAATATTTTATTCTGTTATTTTATAAAATAATCAATTTTGTCCAAAACTGTAGCTTTGAACAAATATTGCAACTTGCATCTTAATCATAATCATTACGTATAATTATTACGTTTACTTTTTCGATGTAATTTTCTGCTCTTATTGTTAATAAATATATAATAAAAAAGCAGATATAAAGAAACGTTTTCGAACATTCGTATAAATGAACGAGTTATCTGCTGACCTATATACATTTTTCTACACGCAGAAAGCGAATACGCTTCTCATCGTGCCTATTAGATTCGTCAAGCCTATGGAATTTGACATATAAGCGAAAAGAAATGTATAAAAAGAAATGAGAATGGTGATATGTGTGTAATCCCGTTGCGACATGAATGAAAATGCAATTATAAATCGATGTAGTTTTGCAAGTGTTTAATAATACGCAGCAAATTGTCAAGCTGTTTTTGTAACACGCGTATTTACTCATGAATCATGAACAATTTGCTTTGCAAAGAAAAATTCAGAGCATGTATATATAATTATGCAATTAATAAATTTATAAACAATGTTAATAAACATCTAAACTTAAGTACATAAGATTTTCTTGTTATTACTTTTTTTCAATATTTTTACGTTAAGATTTCATGAATTTGCCTTAAATATTCTTCTATAAATGCTAGGAATCGTGAAGAATATTCATTAATAATATATCAATAATTAATTACTTCTCTGTTAATTTTGAGCGGACTTTAATCGAATAATATATAATAATTAATTTAATTTATTTAGAGAGATAATTTTATTAATAGTTAGGAAGATAATAAGTAATCTAAATTTAAATAATTTTTAAATCCCGATATATTATTCCAAGTTTTTGATTATCCAGATATATACAATTAAATTTAATATTTAACAACAAAATCTTATTTGATTCTGTGATTATTTTTAATTATTGAAAAATGTTAAATATATAATAAAAAAACGATTATATCCCTTTTTATTTTAGAGATCTTTCAAACAATATCCACATGTTGTTATTCACTTGTTGTTATTCTATTCGACTATCGTTTACGGCTTACGTAAAAACATAAGATATGAGAATTCATATAATTCCTGCACAAAATATTACAATTTTGGAAAATAATTCTCCATTAATTGTCTACATAACTTGATCGTCACGCGCGATTTCGCGATCACGCAATAACGAGGAGACATATGTTGATTAATCATGCATTGAAATCTGCCGATGCATCGAATCGCTCGTATAATTTCGCAAGCAACGGATGATTTCGTCGTCAACTCCGATTTCGCGGCTGGCCGCGGATTTCCTTAAAAAACGGACGCGCTTGTCGTACTTCATCAGTTTGATTTCGACTACGATTCCGACCTGCTAACGATGTATTCGAAGAGTTGTTGCGCATTGTTCCTGCTGGCGCTAGTCGCCTGCCAGGCCGCACCCTCGCCCAAGATAATCGAGAAGTCAACCGAGACAGCGACCAAGCTCGTCAAAGAAGACATTAAGCCAGAAGATATTGGCGCGGACAAGGATAGAGCAAAAAAATCGACAACCTTCTGCGTGGAGGTCCGCTCAGGAAAGGAAGAGTTGGTTCCCTGTAAGCAGGGGCTCCCTATAAAACAGACGCAAGAGGTTCTAAATCTCAAGACTCCTGACTACAAACCAATGGCCATCATGCAAACCGCATCCGTTCCCGCATCGGTACAGTATCCAGTACAGTATCCAGTACAGTATCCAGTTTCGAATATCATGGTCCAACAGCCGATGCCGCAACTCTCTCCGATCAGTTTGCTGCAACCGTCTTCTCAAGTAGTTGTTTCGGCTCAGCCTCAACAGCAAGTTCCTGAGCCAATCACTCATCAGCACGTCATCCAAGTTCAAACTCAACCGCAACAAACTTCAGCGCCAGTTTCTCAAGTTCAATCGCAACAACCCGCATTCCCTGCTCCAGCACCAGCTCCTGCTCCAACGCCAATCATTAACATCATACCGGCTCCCGCCTCCGCACCCTGCGAAAAACCTAATGTTATGCAGCCCCAACCCTTACCACCACAATACAGTCATACAGTCCACGTCGTTCAACCAACCCAACAGGCACCACAAGAGATCAAGCCGATAAAGATGGAACAAGAAAAGCCACAGGTAAAAAAAGAATAAGTTCGAATATAAATATATACAGAATACATATAGGGTATATTATAAAAATTAGAAGTACATGATATAAATTTGAAGATAATTTCTTTTGAAAACTATCAATATTTAAAAATTTAATTTTGAATATCTGGATAACTAAAAACTTGAAAAGAAATTAGTTCAAAAATTATTTAAATTAAGATTACTTATTACTTTTCCAACTATTAATTATTTTTCTAACTAAATTAAATTAAATATACTATTCGATTAAAATCCGCTTAAAATTAACAAAGAAGTAATTAATTATTGATATATTAATAAATATCCTTTGTTATTTAGATCCTGCCAATTTCGCATCAGGGACTGAGTGTTTTAACGCCCGTCGCACGTCCTTACAAAACCGAAATGTTACTTGCACCATCTTCTCCTGTGGAACTTGTTTACCATGAGGAAGAGCCGACAAGGCTTGTCGAGGTACCAGACATCGTATAAAAGATTTATCAATTTGGCAAATCGTTAAATTTTTGAATTTGCTTTCTTAAAAGCTCTTGTAGTTTTAATTTCCTGTATTTGCAAACTTTTTTTTTAATGATTCTTTTAATTATATTTCACAATAAGTATATATATCAATACCATATAAAAAAATGTTATTTTTCATTCTAATACATGTTTCATTATCACACAGTACGTACCAACAGTACAGGAAGAATTATACGAGTGCAGTTGTCGATCCGAACAGCAAAAGGCCAAGCCCTATAAGCATCACGTAACGGTACATCCCAGCGGGTCTAAGTCCTTTAGGTCTCCGATGATGGCCTTACAATACAATCCCAGCATCGGAGAAAGTGTAGAATCGCCCATAATCGCACAGGCCAGAGAAATGGTAAGTACCGAACTGATTAAAATCAAACAGTGATTCGACACATAATATCCATTAATCTTGGGATAATAAATGAAAGCTATTTTGACTGTGCGATTCTTAAAAAGTAAAAAAGAAGCTTGAAGAGAGCGACATCAAAAGATTCCTATCAACGCGATTCTATTCCTTCCATGGAAAATCTCTGTAATAGAGAAAATTCTCTCTTCTTTAAAGAAGATCCGACAATTCGATTGAGAAACCTAAGTACATAATGTTTGGTTTCACGCACAGGTTTAACATTTTATATCCTCGGTGACCTCGTTAAGGAAATTGGACCAAGCAACTTAAAGATTGAACTGCAAATTTTAATTCAACGTCTACGGCGTTGTATCGAACGTGCATCTTTGACGGAACGTCGTTATGTATATTGTTTATTTATAAAATAAAAAGAATTGTTCTCATATATAAAACCTTCTCGATTGTTCTCCCTCCGATCCCTGATTTATACATCCACTTCTATCATAATCTAGCGTAATATCTAAATTATATCCCATTGCGTTTGGAATCTTTTGATGCGTATGAAGCGAAACGTTTGTCGAGCGCTTAACTGAGGCTAGAAATGGAATACTGAAAATTAAAAATCGATTCTAGATACATATACATTCAAACTGTAAGAAAATGCGTGTTTTATAAAATATCAAATTATTTTTTTGCAGGAAGGAAGGCATCATCATAAAAAACAAATCCCTTTACATCTCACGGTGCAACAACCGTACCCCGTCGTATATAGTTCCTCCAACAATCCTCCTACACATGAATCTAACTCATATCAGTCTATAACATATATTACAAGTCCTTATACCTATTCATATCCCTATGAAACCTACAGCTCTTACCCTGCGACAAATTACGACTCTTCTTCTCCTCAATCCTATAGTAACGTACCGTTAATCACCGTAAACACAGGGGGACCATTTCAAAGGAATTCCCAAGATCAAAATTCGGAGGAGATTCCGGCGGATAACAAAAATATACAAGAAACTCTTTCAAATGTGAATGGTCTCTCCAGCAATCAAAAGCGAGAGGTTACTAATACTCAATTGAAGAATGACAAGAAAGAAACTGCAGAGGAACTACAGGTGGAAAAAGAAAGTAGCATTAAGCAGATGATTCCAAAAACCGATGCAGATGAAATTTTGAAACAGAAAGAAGAATAGAACGAGCTGTCAAATCTTTAAAGGCATAGATATGCCTAAATAATTTGTTAATTGACTTAACGTAAACATATATTTAATAATTAGACATCTTATTATTTATATATAACGTTATTAAATCGTTTTTGTCTAACAATTTTTTTAATTTTTTATACGTACATATCGTAAATTTGTTAAGAAATGAAAATTTTCTCTTTTAATAAATATAATAAAATATTATCTTTTCTTTCAATTGCAGTTTATTCAAACACTCACCGTTTCGAACTCTGCACTCCCATTTTTGTGATTTTCCTCTATCATATATCTTTCGTCCGGTATAGTTCTCTTTCAACATGAGACATATTTACACACGTGATTTGTTTTCTGATCGTATGCTTAAAAATTTTAGAGTTGTCGGATTCGAGAATGAAAGTTTTTGCAGCATTTTATGTACGTGCTGAATTTTTAATATTATAATATACTAATATAATAAAGAAATCGTGAAAAGTAAATTTTTAAAGAATAAAATTCAATATATATATATATATATATATATATATATATATATATATATATACGCTTTAAAATTTCAAAGTTGTCGGATTCGAGATTGAAATTTTTCGAAACGCTTCAATTTAGTTTTCATGAACAAGTTCATGTTGTTAATTGAAGAATCTATCCTGCAAAATGTTACATGTGGCAATTAAATTAAAAAGTTAGCATATATATATTTTATATTTTTAAAATATATTTTTTTATTATTAGTATTGCACTTTATAAATTCAAACACTCACCGTTTTGAAATTGAGAAGATTTGCAGTAAAAATTAAACAAATTACACGATCCATAATATAAATGAAGCATAATATTCTTATAATAAACTCTAGTGTTACACTCTATAGTGTAAAAATTAAGTTGTTAAGCCTTTATTGATGCCATTATTGAGGTGCATGAAATCTATGAACAAAGTCGTTTATTATTTCTTCTAAATTTGCTCCCAGTTGTTGAAAACACCATTTGCTTGTTGCTGGACATATCAGCGCTATGGTAATAGCGCTTATTGTTAGAGGAGTGAGCAACATCCAAATTAACTATAAAAAATTAATTATGATTAATTATAAATTAGTCGAATCGATTTTAGATACGCACATGAAATATCCAAGACACAAGCAGCCATCCTATCAACATTATCGTAACTGTGATTAAATACGGAATATATTCCGGACAAAGGATGTGTCGCAAACAGGGAATTTTGTCACTCAAGTCCATCAAGATAGCCTCTAACTGCATTATTAAAAATCCTTATAATAGAGTCCAATTATATATTACAATAAATTCAGCTAAGAACATTGACTCACATCCATTTCTTCTTCAATAAATTTATAAAACAGAAACAATTTTTTTTCAATTTAATGCTAGTAAAAAATGATTATAATGTAACATATAAGGTGTACTACATTTTGACAAAAAATAATTCTCCAAATTTATGATTTACAATAGACATAACATTTTGTCAACTGATTTGATGCAATTGCGATCGATCGTACTGATAAGGCAATAAATTGACTACTTCACCATGTTGGTGTTTATATGGATTCGTTTATATATACAGTGTACCTATTAAAATAATTTTGAATATTTTTCATCTTTTTATAAATTCAGAAGAATTTAATTCTATAATCGTGTACATATACAAATTTATTTTGCAATAAAGAATAAATAAATATATATATTTAATATTTATATAAAAAATCGTTTTTGTATAAAATATTTTCTTTATACAAATATTCAATCAAATATTTCTATCAATAATCCATTTTTTTATCAGCAATCAATCGTATTCTTGCATGTTGTTGACTCAGGTTTCATTGGTTTTATTATCCTGTGATTGATCCGGTGGAGGCTCGATAATACCTAGTGGAGCCTCATCTGCTGATGATGTAGTAGAAAATTCGTCTTTTGAAGGCAAAATATCTTCTGGTATTTCTTCAAGAATGGTTTTCTTATATGGCACGAAAGGAGTTTGCGTATCAAGAAACTGAGGCATTTCCGGCGATGTAGAAATTCCTTCTCGTTGAGGAATTCTTTCCAACTGATCAACTAGATACTGATCACATTTAACAAGTGCGCACAGTTTCTGAAATGCCGATGACGTCAGTCTTGCCGTCAGGATTGTTAGAAGCTGTGCAAGACCAGGTGTTCAAAATTAACTGACCACGGGGCTATTTGGCCCTGTATGGTCTTGATTACGTGTATGAATTAATAATAATATTTATTAATACTCGTAAGACAGTACTCTTAGAGAGAAAGACAAGAAGTCCTTGAAAATAGACATAGAAATATGTAGAATAGATATAGAAACAAAAAATAATTAGTAGAAGATTGAAATTGTTCAATATATACTCACAATGATTAAATTCGCCGACTGTCTCAACAAAAATACAGTTGTAGGATATATCAAAATAATTGTTATTTCCATCAAACGCGAAACGGCAGCAACGGAAAACAGAATACCAGATAACATCAATAGGATTACAAGTTGAAAGAGTCCAATCAATGCCTATGATAAAAATATCCCAAATTATAAAATTTAAAAAAAAATAGTTCTTTAAAATTGTATGACTGTAAAATCTCTATGAATTTTTTCATTTCTCTATATTAAAACAATATATAAAACTAGTAAGTGTGTATGTGTGTGCGTATATGTGTGTTGGTATCCACACATATATATGTATATACATATGAGAATCTTGGATATCAATTAAGAATCATCAAAAATAATTCTTACACAAAAGATCCACATGGTTAATGTCTCCTTGTTTTAATGACAAGTCACATTTGCAGTTCAATTGCAGACTGTTCGCAATTCTGCTGATGAAGATTTAAGTTTAACTTGCATTTAATGATTTGTATTCCACATTTCTTGATTTAATTTCTTTTGACAACGATTGAGTTTTCCTTAAAACTCTTGAAGAAGTTTCTTTTACCATTCAATGTCACACAAAGATACTATTCATGCTAGTTTATTTTTACTACATGCTAAATTGACCAAAATGTAAATGCCCAACTTCACATTGCATTGTCATATTTATATAAAAAAAAAATCAAGAGATAAATCGTTCTAAAAAATGATAAGAATGCATAAGAATTTAATCTCTCTCTCTCTTGATATAGTGTAAAAGAAATTAAGAATATTTAATAATAATTATAAACTGTTCCAGCAAAACACATATATAGATATAGATTATTATATAAAATATCATATTATATAAAGTATCCATTTATTTTTGAATTTTTATTGTTAATATAAATATATCTTATTAAATATATCATGTATTTCTTTTTTAAAAGTGTTTCCTATTGTTACGTCCAAGCTTCGAGTTCCTAAAATAAAAAATGTATTATAGTTTATATATTATTAAAAAATATATTATAATAGAGTTAATACATTATTGTTAAAAATATGTACAAATACACAACTATACATATGTATATACATAACATAAAGATTTTATTAACTTATGATTTAATTATCATACATCAAAGTATGATCAATATAACTCACGTTAGTAATTTCATTATCATAAATTTTCTTCCAATTGTGGATAAGAACTGAAATTTTTTCCTCTTTTTTCTTAATGTCTGCTTGTAACTTATCCTTTTCCAAGCATTTCTCATTAAAGCAAGCTTGATTTCTATCAAATTTGGCTATCTGTTCCTTTTTCTCACTAACAATATTATTTAATTTTAATCATTTTTATAATAAAAAATAGATATATATATAACTTTATTATCAAAGTATATATAGTTAAGAGTTGAGTTTTTTTAACAAGAACTTCTTAGGATATTATATTCTTTAATTTTTATATATATGTATATGTAAATTAAAGAATATATCCGAAAAGTTCTCGTTAAAAAAAGTTAACTCTTAAGTCAAACTTAAGCAATATTACCTCAATAGTTGATTACACATGCTGAGCAATGGGGTAATATCTTCTTCATGATGTAACTGTAATTTGCTCATTTCTGTATCCATTTGATCTTTGTGCATTGTTAATTTACTCTGCCTTTCTTTTAATACATTATTCAATGAATCAATTTGCTTTGGAATATTATTTAATTTTGTTTTTTTGTTTCTATATAAAATAAAGTAATATATATATATATATATATATCAATAATTATTTATAACATAAACAATCTAAACATATAAATAAAAACATACATCAGCTTTTTCTCTACATCTATCAAAGTAGAAAATATATCATTCATTTTCGGAACAAAATTTAATTTTTCTCCTATTTGTTTTATGGACTGTTTCTTTTCCTGAATGGCTTCCTGTATTATGTCACGTTCTTCTAATTTTAATTTTTTTTGTTCCTTGAATTCATCTAAACGAGATTGATATTCTTCTGGTGAATATACTACTTCTGACTGTAATTCAGCTATCTCCTTGGACAGCTAAAAATTATATTGTACATGCATTACAAATTTATCAGATTTATTGTTTAGCAATAAAAATGTCACATTATTATAAAAGATTCACAAAGAAAGATATTAAGATTCAAATAAAGATATTTACTTTTCCCATTGCTGTTTTAACAGAGCCACATTGCTCCTTGGCAATCTGATTTTCTTTTTCTACTTCATTTTTCATTGCTTCAAGTTGCAATACCTTTTTATTCATTTTTTCTGTTTGTGATAGTATATGTTGTATATCATCCTCCAGCTAATGTGAAAAAATATATAATTATATTATTACATGCTGTAGTAAAATATTAAATAGAAGCAGAAATATCCAATAAAAATTTCAATAAAAATTACTTTTTATTACCTTTTTTATCATAGATGACTGATTTGCTTTATGTTTAGATTTATTATTAATCAATTCCACAACTTGAGCATTCCTTTCTTTTAGTTCTTCTAAAAGCCTTAATGTAGCTTCAATTTGATCATTCTTATCATTAAATTCTGGTTTTTTGTGCATTGTATACAGTACAAAATTGGAAAAAAGTTTTGCATGTTTTTTTAGTCGTTTTTGCCCTATAAAATTTGTAATAGAATATTAATTATATATATATATATATATATATAATGATATTACCTTTATATTTTCAGACTTTATTAAATAGAGATGTCGTCGTGGTAACGTTAAGTTATTGCCCACTGGCCTACAATTTGGAACTGCTGCTGCTGGTGGTCCTAGACATCAAACGATTACATCCTTCTCTGAAACTAACTAAGAGATATTACCCACATGTGCGTAACAGGTATGGTTTCTTCGTAGTTTATGAAAAAACACACACACACACACACACACACATATATATATATATATAATGATATTACCTTAAAAATTTGTAAATTGAAATTTGTACCAGGATTAGTGATGTCAGTAAAACAAAAATCTTGTAGAAATATCTTATCAAATATTTGCGTCAGAACTGTGTATAAGTTTATCAGATTGATTATATCAGAATCCTCGTAGTACATCATAACAATATGTTGTTCCGGAATTGGCTGTAAAATTTTGTTCGAATAATATGTGAGATATATATATATAGACAAATCTATGTGTGTGTGTGTATATATATATATATGGGTCTATTATTATTTTTCAATAAATAGTTTGTATAACCCACACATAACATATACATGCAAATGATTTATAAAGTCTCACTTGATTAATTATGTTTACATCAATAGAAAATCGTGATAAGAATGTCGTTAACAAATTCACAATATAGTCTTCTGTTGGATTTTTGAGATCTTCAATAGTCGATGGTAATGCAGCATCCAATAAAATATGATGGATCTTATTGATAGACATATCCATGATGATTGATTACACATTAATTATTCCTAATAAGAAAAATAATATAATAAAATAAATATACAATAATAAGAAATCTTTATATAAAATATAATAATGTGTATAATAAATATTATCAATAATATAAATAATAATATTAATATATAACATTTTCCTCATTACTTTAAATAGGATTGCACAAACATGTACACACATAATTTATTGAAGATAAAAGTAAAAATCTACTAATGATCTTTAATGAAAAACTTACTTAAATATTTTAAAAGAAGTTTTAGCTTTTCACGTTATTACAATCTGTATTCTCTTAGAAATATGCAATTTCTTTTGCACTTTTCACACACAAACAATATTATGGTGATTGCAATGATTCGTTTCGTAACGGTAACGCTTTGTAAAATATTTGAATCTGAATCTAGTAGTTTTCTGTCATCGATCATGTAATTTTCCCCTAAGAGTGGAAAGATCTTCGCCTGGGCTGTGTTCCTATTTTCCACCCGGGTGCACCCGATATTATAGTATACGTGACATATACTATAATATCGGGTGCACCCGGGTGGGGAATCGGAACACAGCACAAATGTGCTGCATGTCTCTTGAAAACATAGGGTGTGTTCCGTTTCACGCACTGAGCGCATAGATCGTCTGGAAATCTATAATATATGTTACGTGAACTATAGATTTCCAGGCGATCTATGCGTGAAACGGAACGCACCCATAGATTTTATAATTTATGTTTGAAAACCAAAATAATTTCTACTAAAAAGAAAAATTAATATTAGGATTATTTGAAAGATAAAGTTGGACAACACCCAATATCACCAGTTTATGCCGCATGGCGGTCGTGACGTCATTGTAGCTGCGTTCTAGTATTCTTGCCACGTATTTTTGCTGTTTGAGTATATTTGAGTATATTTGAGTATCTCCAAGTGTCTCGCGCGATTAACAATTGATTTAATGTTTTTTACCTGCTTGTCTCAAGTGACTTAAAAAGCTCTCGGCAGAAATGGGATCGTCTCATAGCGTGGAGATACCAGGAGGCGGTACAGAAGGTTATCATGTATTAAGGGTAAGGTTGTTTGTCAAGAACATCTAATTACTCCAAATATACCACTCACTTTTGCAATTTGTTTACATATAAATATTGTGGAGAAAAAACAATAATAGAACTTAATATAAAGTATTAACTTATTTAACTTACATATCTATATGTATTCAGACTATGTTTGCATGATCCATTTTGACATATTGACTGCTAGAAATGTCATCCATATACATTTGTCATTTTTTACTCTTTAATATCATACATTGTAAAAAATTGAGTAAATTGTCTATATTACGAGTTCTTTGAACAATTCAAGATTAATTTCTCTTGTGATAAAAATATTAAGAAAAGTCAATGTTTTTCACGAGTTCTACCAATTTTTTTATTGCATATTTTCTTTCTCATTGAATTTAAAATTATAATCTGAATAAAATCTATTTAAAATTAAATGACACAAATCAAATAAAATTCTGTTCTTGCTATGAAAAAATTTAGAAATAAGAAATATAAATATGGAACATCTCATATATTATATTTTAATTATAGATAATTTACTATAATTTACTGATTATCAATGTGAAGACATATATTAGAAATTAGGAAAATAAAATTTTATCCATAATACATGCTAAAAATACAATTATATATATAAGATGATTCGTATTTCTTTTTTGGTAGGTTCAGGAAGGCTCTCCTGGACAGCAAGCAGGACTTGAAGCATTTTTTGATTTTATTGTGGCTATTGGAAATACTCGATTAGTACGTTTACTAATAATTGCTATTTTTAACGATGCATTCCTCTTATACAGTTGCAGTAATTATTGCAGTAGAATATATTATATCTATATTTTAAAATGCTGTAATTTGCTCCTCATAGGATCAAGATAACGATACCTTGAAGGAACTTCTAAAGGCTGGTGTAAATAAGGAATTAACAATTACAGTATATAGTAGTAAAACACAATCTGTAAGACGAACAAAAATTGTACCGAGTATGACATGGGGTGGACAGGGTTTATTAGGCGTTAGTATACGGTTTTGTTCGTTCGAAGGCGCCAACGAAAATGTTTGGCATGTACTTGTAAGTGCTTCAAATTCCACATTAATTTCATATAATGACATATTTCACAATGGAAAAAATGGTTGATACCTATATCCGTAGGAAGTACATCCATCATCTCCTGCAGAATTGGCTGGTTTACAACCATTTACTGATTACATCATTGGCGCAGACTCCATTCTCCATGAAAGTGAAGACTTATTCACTTTAATAGAGGCACACGAATCACGACCTCTTAAATTATATGTATATAATACTAAGGATGATTCCTGCAGAGAAGTGACTATTACACCTAATAATACCTGGGGTGGAGAGGGAAGGTACAGGAAGAACTTTTTGCAGTGTTTGAGATACAATCATTATTAAAAATCATAATGCGCAGTGTGTACAGATATTATTATTGTATTTTTATTTAATAGCTTAGGATGTGGAATTGGATATGGTTATCTGCACAGAATACCTGTTAGAAGTGTGCCAGAACATAAACCTGCTAATTCATATATGGTAAGAAGTTACACTATAAGCCTTTACAAATCATCTACTAAAACTGCTTTCTTTGAACACTTTGCTATATATATTATTGTTATTATATATTTCTGTATATTTTATGCTATGAGTGTATCTATTTCAGAATGTCAAGATTACTACACAAACTCAATCAGCAATGTCAACGACTACTACAACTACTGTGGCAGAAATCAATCCACCACAAATTATCAATACACCACCCGGCTTATCCATTCCATCAAATTATACCGCCCCATTAGATAATTCTGAACAAACTGCGAAAAATTTGAAAAACGAACAAGAAGTTAAATCTATCGAAAATATATCTGGCTTTAATATACAAACACAGACAACAAGTCATCTTAATTTCACTGGTGCTGCTAGTAGCTACACACCAGTCAGTTCAGTTCCTCATACGTTTTCGAATCAATCTCCTGTTAGTTTCACACCTGGTAAGCATGACAAAATTTTATTTGTATTCTCTTAATATGTAAATATTTTATTTTCCGAATTGCACAACTAAAATCAAACTAAGTTTTAAGAAATTGAGAGAACGGTTTTTTATTCATAGTTTCTCTCTCTTTTCATGGAAATTAAAATATATTAATTTACTGTAACATATTGCTAAGTTTCTGCTAAAAAATTGATCAAATTTTATTCCAAGATTCTTATAAAAGTCAACCTTATATACATGAAATTTTCAGTAGAAAAAAAAAAAAGGAAATGGTAGGGATTTTTAAACTTGTATCTTTGTAACACACACATTTAGCTATTTAAACTGTTATTGATATATCTACTTCATTATCTAGGCACTTATCAAGTAACCCCAAGCATTCCTGGTATGCCAACCATCCCGGTATTACCAACAGTATTACCTATGAGTATCACCAACTCTTATGAAGCAGCAGTAGCATCATCTGGATCAATCAATGTCCCAAGACAGCAGAGAGAGCAGAATTTTGTTCAAAGTGCGAGCATAGTTAATGTCCCAGAACTGCAAAGAGAACAAAATCCTGTCAATAATGCTACCGTGACTACTGGATTTAACGTGCCTCAGTCTCATGTTGTGACGACACCTATCTCACTGCCAGGAATTAGCGCCTCTCTCCCGCAAAACACTTCCCTCTATCCATCTGTTCTTCAACAACAAAACCAATTTTCACCTGGTATCAGCACTACCACTGTTGCTCCAACATTAACATCGTCAACGTCCATGCAGTAAAGTGTGCATTCTTAAAAATTAGATAAAGATGTGATTTTCACTTTAATAAACATACTTTTAAGCATGCTGGTGAAATGAAATCGGATTAATTTGCTCGTTCTCTAAATTCAGTTAAAACTTGATAAAATTATAAGTTTAATTTCTTTTATAAATATCAAGAATATACAATGCATAATAAATTTTTTAATGTGTATTAAAGAAAATAATATAATTAATATAGTATTGTAATATTGTACATAAATAAAACAATTATAAGATCCTAATTATATATTGCAGCACAAAATTCTTCTGATATTTATTCTACAAGTATTACATGTGTATACTGTTCAACTTTCCACATATCATATTTTTAATTATATAGATATATAATTATCAACAATAGATATAGAAAATATGACAGTATAGATATAGACTTATTCAAACATTTTATTTTAATTGAGGACTGCAACAGATAGAGATTGTACAATTATAGGTTCGTTTTTTAATTTTTAAAGAAATTTTGATTCGTAAAAGCAATATTTATTATAAATACATAATCCTCAATTAACATTATAACAAGTACTAAATTGATACACAGATAGGCAGAGCAACGACACTTGAATTTCAAACAAAATTCTTAGCATCGTCAACACACTTTTTAAATAATAATCTCGGTATCACCTAATTCTTCATCGCTTGGCAGTGTTATTTTAGACGGATCGATTACATTAGGATCGATGAGAGGAAGACCATGTTCCTCTCTATAACGAAGTTGCAGATATGCTTCTCGTTGCGCCCAGTCCTTGCCTCTGACATCGGGTAGATAAGCCATGACAGTGAATCCAAGCACAAAGACTATAGTTATAACGACGAACATAGTCGCATGCATGGTATGACGATCTTCTGCCTCGTCTGTCTCGCTGAAGCCATAACTCACCCACTTTTTCTTGACAAGCGTTTTCTCCGCGTTATCTCCATTATCGTAATATCTCGGTGTTGTCGCTATCCTGCGATATATCGTCGTCTCCTTGGGTGTCATCAGAGCTAACCCTCTGCGCAAACTTTGCACGCAATTCATGCGAAATAACGCTGCCATCGTCACTTGTTTTCACCTGCTGTGTGACAATTGTCACGAAAGATACGTGAAAATTCCAATGCTGATTATATTATGATAACCATGTATTTCGAGAGAGTGAGAGACCAGAAATTAGATAATATTTCTTCAAATATACTCGCGTACGTAATTCCTACGTACGAGTATGCATATAGCTGTATTTTTCAGTTTAGATTAGGTCAAGCTAGATACTCACCGGCAAACTATACATTTGGTGAATTGGATCCGATTGGCTAATGGCGGACACTAACATATTTTGATTGGCTATCAATCAAAGACTGTCTCGAAAATTCCTCAGAATAGAAATTCTGTAATATAATTTATACACTTATCTGAAAAGCACATTTATATAATATAGCCTTAATGAATTTAAAACAATAGATGTATAAATTTAATTACACGGAGAGAATAGAATTAGCACAATAAAATATTTTCTTTCATTATATATATTATATATTCAAAATTACGTGTATATATAATCTCATTATACATCTTCCCGTTCAAATACTGACGAAATATCATATGGTCTTACCGGATTTAGTGGCTGGAAAAAACTTACTGTGCGCTACTGTAGATAAGTAAATCTTTGCATTATCTGTGTAATAAAACAATAATTTGATATTATAAAATGTTTATCTTGTTATTCTTGAGACAGCTACATAAAAAAATCTATGCATTTTGGATAATAAAACAATAGCTGGATGAGCTAAAATAATTGTACGATTTAGATAATTCGTGTAATTATCTTCAATGCAGTCAAAACGGCCGATAATGTCATCAATCTTTTATTATCTCCAGGCCGACTTGTCACGAAAATTTACCCAGTGCCAGCAGTCTTTTAATAGCATCTCGTCGATGGTTCAAGCTTATCTATAATTATGTTCTTTGCAATAAAAATTTTACAATTTTTTATGAGACAAGAATTTCCACATCAATACAATCTCGTATACAGACTTTAGATCAAATTCCTCCTGTGATATTTTATTGAAATCTTCATAGAAAGAATTTCTTGTTATTTTTATGTGGCGAGTTCTTCTATTGGATATGAAATATATCGGATATATATATATATATCGGTCATATATATGTGTAGTGTGTAGTATATATATATAATATACATAATTCAAATAATCGCCAAGAATATCCATCGAGTCGCTATCTAGTGAAATGTGGATTCGTGTTTCGTGGTCGATCGAGCGGTTGTATGGTGGCTCTTGCACGAACGAACGAAAGAATTGTTGAATAGCGTCGTCGGGATCACAATTTCTCGTCGAGAGCGCGGCATATTTATGTGTCACCGAGGCTGCCGGCGGACACGAAGCCTGTAATTAAACACACGGACGCAGCACAGCAAAATCGAGTAAGTAACCGTGGTTGTCGCAGTCATCGTCGCCGCCGAGGGAGGCTCGCGCGCGAATTTACACTGATAACCACAAACCGAAATGCGTTAGATCGATCGACGAATTCAAAGAAGACCTCGACCTTGGCTGCGGCGATTGACGGCAATGCGTACGAATTTCTGAGCACCGATCTGTAAAAAGAGCTGATGATGATCGAGATGATGGTCCAAGTGATATAGATATATATTGTCATCTAATAATCTCGAATGCATATTTCCGCCAATCATCATTAGATCGCGACGCGCGAAATGAATATGGAGGCAATATATGTGAATGTGTGTGTGTATGTATATATATGTGCATTTGACGCCTCAATTGATAAAAACACGCAAAATTTGCAACTGCAGATGAATATTGTTTTATTTTTAAGCTGTACTAAAAATTTATCAAATCTGTATTGTGATTACATGTAAAAACATCGATATAACTTGTAAACATTTTATAGTTGAATATACATTGTAATCTCACAGATAACTGGATAAATTAAATATACATGATTATAACAATTTTGTTATTCTTTAGGTATGAGGCGCAAGAGTGAAAGAAATAAAGCAAAAGGATCTCCAGAGAAGAAAATCGAGAAACCAACAAGGAAGTCAATGCGTAGACGTAACAAGAAATCGCCTTCCACTTCGCCTTCTGAACAGGATGTCCTTGTCGAAGAAGCGGCTAAAAGCGCCACTCAAGTCAAAGAAATTGAAAAGGAGACAAGCGTACAGACGCGCCTACAAAGTAAAGAATTGGAACAGATACCACATGGGCGCGAAGAAAAAGTCTCATCTAGTGAAAGAGACACGAAGGCGGACTCACCAGAAAATGAGGAAGATAACGGCGGCTCTGTATGGAAAGTAGCGAGGGCGGATGCATCACCTGGCGAGATACAGAAGTTGAAGCTATGTAGGCAGCGCAACACATCAGAAGCATCATCAGATACAGCATCTTCGAGTAGGAAAAGTGTTAAGTCAAGTAGCAAGTGGCAAGAAAGTGGTGAGGGCGTTGCAGAGGAGGCTGACTCGGCAGACGAGCAACTGGTTTCTTGTACAAGAACGCTCAGTAGCGCTGAACAGCCGAACGATCCCTCCTCTTCATACCCAGGTCAGGACTCCAACGAAGAGGTAAGTGATAGCAAGGAGATCCTGCCTGAAACCACTTCAGCCAACTTGTTGTCTGACGATAAACCAAACATAGATCAGCACGGTGAATCAAATGAGGCAAATTGCGCTGCCCAAATCGTTGATAATGAACCTGGTAAGCCGGGTAGCACGACAACCGCGCTGACTCCTAGCGCAGACAGCGATTATCTTTGCGAGAAGCCCCCTGCCATTGTCACCGTTCAGGAAGAGAAGACTGTGGAAGATGTCAGCGAAAAATCAACAGAAATATTCGGCCAAGAGACTAATGTAGAAAATGCTCATAGAGACACTAGTAGTGAGGATGAGGAGAACGATAAAGCGAAAACGCATCGTCCGGTGGACTCGTCGTCCGATTCTAACGATGAGTCGCGCCCTAAAAGAAGTAGAAGTAGCGACCGAACGTCGCCACGTGCGACTCGCAGAAAACATCGAAACAAATATAGAGATTCGTCAAATTCTGAGACACCCGATTCCGAAGATGAAACTGTTGACAGTAAAGTCACCAAACCTTACGTCGAGGAGGAGGAGGAAGAGGAAGAGGATGAGAAACCAAGTACAGAGTATTCACAAGAAAATGATAAAGAACGATCGGTTTCGCCGGAAAGAACAAACTCTCAATCAAACAATGTAGAAAAGATGGAGATTGAGCAATGTGAAACTGTGCAGGATAAATCAGAAGAAAATACAACTGAAAAATTAGAGCAAACTGCACCAGCCGGCACTCAGACGGTCACTCACAAGCCCGTGAAAGTCAACTTGAAGAGATCATTGTAAGAATAATTATCCTTGTGCAATGAGTATTTTTTCTCAACAAGGGAATTTTATATCTGAAAAAAAAAATGTGTAGTTTATAATAGATATTACTTAAAATTCTTGAATATATCGTTATACGCAGATTCGATTTAAATATTTCGATATTTAATAATTGAAAAAATAATTTATTATTTCTTAATTATTTTAATTTCTAATTTATTAGTTCTTAAACTTATTATTTCCATTTTTATATATATATGAATAAATGCTATACATATAGTTAAATGATCAATAATGCATAAGATTAATATTATATATTATAATATTAATTTCTACTTGTTTTTCAGTTCGGCAAGAATATTATCTGAAAAAAACGAAGTGAAAAAAGACGATCCTGATGCAAGCGTCGACAATGAGTCCAATAGTCAAAATAAGGTATATGATGTTTAATGCTTTATTAATGTTGTGAAAGAATATTTTTTTTTCTAAATTTGTATTACATGAGTGATAAATGTATTTCAGGAAAACGGCAGCGAACAAGAACCGAAATGTGTGCCGCGGAAACGTCGATGGGGAACTGCGCTTTCTACAGATACCGCACCCTCGTTCTCTATCTCGACTGATTCACTCAAGGTAACTTTCTTTTATTATCATCTCATTTTCATTTTTGAATATCAAAATTCAATAACGATAATATCGATAGGCATTGGTACCGGGTGCAAAACCATTATCTATCAACGAAGTTCGTCTCTCGAAGGATGACGATGAAGACAAAGATCGTCATAGAAGTAACGATAAACGGCACAATTCCAGTGACAGTACAAATGATAATAAAATAATAGACGAAAACTTACAGAAGAATGGCACTGCTAAAAAGGGCAATGGAAAAGCGGATAATCACATTGGTATGTAATTCGTATTCGTAATTTGTTAGAATCGGCAAATTTTTACCTGAGATATGAATTAATGCAATGTTTCAATTCTTCCTACACAGCAGCGAGGCGGAAGATATCGATCGTGAAGGAAATGCCGCATGTGAAATCACCAAGTCCGCCTACGTCTAAACCTACCAATATTCTCCTGATCAAGAATCTAGTTCGTCCTTTTACGTTAAATCAGATCAAGGAGCTTCTTTCACGTACCGGCACCATCGTGGAGAACGGATTCTGGATGGATCGGATTAAGTCCAAATGCATTGTTGAGGTGCGATTATATATAAATATAGAATGTTACAATTACCACAATGAACTGTAGAGCCCAATACTTCATCATTATTCTGACATAATAGTATTCTAACGAGGATCAAGCTTTTGAGACGAGGCAGGCGCTTCACGGAATCTCGTGGCCTATGTCGAATCCGAAGAAGCTCCATGTGGAGTATGCTACGAAGGAGGACATGGAAGCTGCACGGGAATCATCCAAGGAACAACCAATCGCTCGCAAAGCCGAGCCACTCTCGTCCGACCCATGGCAGCAAGATTGGGGTCGCGATGAAAAAATCAACATAACTAAGGTAAGAAGTTTCACAAATAAGATAAAAACTTACATAATCTCGCTTATGATACTGCTTAAAATATCGAAGCATCTTGGATCAATTCAACAAGACATGTTCATATATTAGGTGACCGTAGTGAGAGAATGGGATTTGGGCAAAGAGGATGGCCAACAGCACATCAGGGAGAAGGAACGCGAGAAAAAGGAGCACGACAAGAAGCGACGAGCAAGGAGTCGGAGTCCAGCATTGGACGCGCATTTATCGGCACCGGCTCGTAAATTCAAAAAGAAGGAGGATGATCCACCGCCAGCCAAGCTCCTAGATGATCTCTTCAGAAAGACGAAGGCGACACCTTGTATATATTGGCTGCCGCTTACGAATGAGCAGGTTGGTAAATCCAGTGAACACTAAAAAGCTATAAGAAATAACGATAAGATATTTATGTAGGAGTTCTTCATTATAAAATATTTAATAGAATAAAGTTTTAAATATAAAATACAGTAACATATGCTTTTGAAAATTGTGTTAAGGGCATTCTACAATGGCAGTAGGCAGTACAGAGTGAGGAGTAAGATTTTAAGAGTTGGTTTTAAGAGCAAATGGGAATTGCCCATTTCGTTACTCTCGGTCTTTACATCACTAAAAACAGTATACTCTCCTACTCCTACAGCCTTGTTACTGCCATTGTAGACGACGCATAATATAGACTTTGTTTCTTGCGGATTGACAGCAGTATATCTTCGAGATGTTCGTGGGACTTCCGTGGATTCTCGCGATAATAATCGCGCTTTTCAATGTTTGTACTTACGGTGAGCTATTGATATTTTTCTATTTTTTTTTTTAATAGGAGAAAGTTTAATAGAATTATTCATAATATACAAATTTTCTCCAAATTGGCAGAAATTATAATTTAATCATTGTTACTGTAGATAAGTAAAGAAGTAGCAGCGTTGCTATTAATAGTGATTAAATTGCGATAAATTTGTAGAAAATACAAATTAGAATAACATTTAACTGTGTGTGAAATGTAAAAAATAACAATCAAAAACGGAACAAAGTCGTGGATAAAAATCGAGATATAAACATTTTTTTAAATCTTCATATAATAGGACGAAAATATATAATATGATATATCGGATATTCAACGTTTGATCAGAATTCGAGTCGAATTCGAATCTGTGATTCGAGGATAATAATTCAATAATTTGATTAAGAGATTTTCGATTATAAGCAAAATTGTACAATGCAATGTAACTAAATAGTTTTTCGTATAATTATAATATATAAGTTAATCTTTTATCAATTAAATGTCCGATTAATTTCTTCGAGCACTCGATAAAACTCTTTTACAGTTATCTAAACTTATCGTATAAATAAAATTAAAGAATTGAAAAAATTTGCAAAATAAGTTTCTATCAATTCGCAATTTGCATGTTTTGATTTGTAGATTTTTTTATAATGATTACATCGCGGCTATCTATTTTTATAGTTTATATAAACGAATTTTTTTATCCTAAATTCCTTTTTTTTGCGTATTATGCTTATTGCGATATTTAAGCAATATCTTTTCATTAGAATTATATACGTTTTAGTGTGAAGCAATGTTTTCCATTGAATTAAATTGGATTGAAAGACATCAGATATCTGATCGCAAATTTATAGACTTTACCGTTAGTTCCAGGAATTTTTAATATCTGCATACTGTTAATAACAGTCTGTATATCACCGTACAAATCCGCTGGATTCTCTTTATATAGCAATGTTATGTTTGTCACAAAAATTAGATCATCCCAGGTAGCAAATGTACGTCATTTAACATCAAAATCATGTTATTTGACATCCATAAAATATTATTTGACGTCAAAATCACGTGCGCTTGCTAGCTGAAATGATTAATAACATGATGACTAATCATAAGATGATTATCGTGCGAAATCCTCGTTCCGTTTTATGTTTGTACGTGAACCTTGCGCTCGAATTGCGATGGATATTATGATTATTATTTTCTAAACGATGTTTTAATGATATTCTTTTGACGACGAATGTAAAAATGACAGTTAGATGCAGTCTATTTGCGGCGAAACCAAAATAAAGATAACGATGAACTGTATTTGTTTTTATCCAAGACATTACATTTTTATACATTAATGTTTTTTTCCGTTACAGCTCAACCTCCAGCTTCGTCCAATCAACTACTCGTGTCAGAGATCTGCTTAGACTGCATATGCGAAGTTACTACGGGATGTAACACCACTGTCGGTTGCTATAATGTGGCTTGCGGGCCTTTCCTCATAATACCGGCCTATTGGATTGACGCTGGCAAACCAACTGTAAACAACGAACCGAGCAATACCGATGGTGGTGAGTTAAGTTTTTTTTTTATAAAAAGAAAACTGCTTTCGAATATCTATTCGAATACTATAATTCTATAACTCTTTAATGCTTTATAGCTGCATTTTCTTCTTTATTTGGCTCTCTCTCTCTCTCTCTCTCTCTAATCGAAATAGA